GCCTGCGTGCCGGTGCCGGTGCCGCCCAGCCCGGCCCGGCCGCTCTCCCCGCCGCCGGCTCCTGATGACGGCGCCCTGGCCCCCGCCCGAATAGCGCTTGGTGGGAGGGGGCCAGCCTGGGTGGCGGTGTCGTTTCGGGGTCACGCGTGTTCCCTGTGGTCATGTCCCCCGTGGGGTGGCCGCCAGGCAGCGGGTTTGCTGTGGGCGGCGGGCTCCCGGCTGCTGTGGCCTTTCGGGTCCAGGCCCGGTGCTGGCATCTGACATCAGGGCGCCTCTGTTACAGTCGCGGAGCCAGTGCGGAGACTGTGAGCTGCGGCCGCGCCGGTCAATGCCCTTATTCCGATACCTTTTCCCTGTTCCACACTCTCCTGTCCGGTCCTGTCCGGTCCTGCACGCGCTTCTTTCTCACGGACCCCGCAGAAGACCACGGCGCATCAGCCAGTTTCTCTCCAGCTTCCTGGGTTTCTGGGAGGCCTGGTGGGATACATTGTGGCTGCTCCTCTGTGGGGATGTATCCATGTTTCTCGGGGTCAGAGAGGCTGTGGGTCTTGGGGAGGGGACCACAGAGGTGGAGCGTCCTCATCCCTCTGGTCCAGGGCGCCCGCTGTCAGCGTGAGGCCCAGGCGGGTCTGCCAGGTCCCCCTGCTCTGCAGTCACTCCCCCGCTCCCTCCCCGCCCCCATTGGCACGCTGCTCTTTGGAGGAAGTGCTGTGTGCAGGGCACGCTTGGGGTGGGCCTGGGGCTGCCTAGAGGCGGGCGGGCCAGGTTCACCTTCACCTTCACCAGGGACTGGGTGTGCGGGCAGAAGGCAGGCGCCCATCAGGGAGGCTCCCAGCCATTATGGAAACGGGGGCCTCAGAGGAGCCACCTGGGGGAGCCGGGGTCTTAGAGCTGTGGAATGGCAGGTGCCCATGGACGCTGGGTCAGGTGTACCCACAGGTATTCAGGTACGAGTGCCTGCGGGGGAGCTGGAGGTGGGGCAGCTGGCGGGGGAGAATCCGGCCCGTGAAGAGAGGTGTGAGGTGTGAAGAAATACACTTGGTCTCTGTCCCTCCGCCAGTTCCTGCCAGAGCTCCAAAAGCCCTTTGGGATTTCTTGTTCATATTTTTAAATATATACATAGGCCCTGGCTGGTGTGGCTCAGTGGATAGAGCATTGGCCTGTGGACTGAAGGGTCCCGGGTTCGATTCTCGCCAAGGGCACATGTCCGGGTTGTGGGTTCGGTCTCCAGTGTGGGGCGTGCAGGTGGCAGCCGATCGATGATTCTCTCTCATCATTGATGTTTCTCTCTCTCTCCCATATATTTTATTGATTTCAGAGAGGAAGGGAGAGAGAGAGAAACATCAATGATGAGAGACAGTCATCCATTGGCTGCCTCCTGCACGCCCCACACAGGAGGTAAAGCCCGCCACCCAGGCATGTGCCCTGATGGGGAATTGAACCTCCTGGTTCATAAACTGACCCTCAGGCACTGAGCCGCGCTGGTGGGTGGAGTTTCTGGAGCGATCAGGGTGTCTCGGGTGATACATAATGAGCCACTCTGCCTCTAACCTGAGTGTATGCTAATGAAGTACCTGTGATTAGCGGTCTGGACCTTCCTACCCCACCCCCAACCTCCGGGGGGCAGTGGGGGCCTGGAGATTGAGCTCAATCGCCAGTGGCAAACAGGTAACCAGTCATACCAGGCACTGAAGATAAAGGTCTTGGACAGGGAGGCGTGGGGAGCTTCTGGGTTGGCGGCACCTGCTGACCCCACAAGGAGGAAGCTTCTGCATTCAGGGCGGCTGGACCTTGAGCTTTGTGCCTCCTCCTCTGGGCGGCACCGTGTCCTCTGTAATAAACTGCAGAAGCAAGGAGAGCGCTTTCCCGGGTCCCGTGTCATTCCAGCACGTTGTCAGGTGAGGGGTTCAGGGACCTGCATTTGTAGTTGGTAGAACGTGGGCAGCCTGGGCACCCTCCTTGCAGCTGACACGTATGCAGGGTGGGCGGGGAGTCTCGTGTAACTTGGGGTCTGTACTGACCCCGGGTAGTGTCAGAATTGAATGGTAGGACACACAGCTGGTGTGGGAGAGTTGTTGTGGGGAAAAGACAACACAGCAGGGCTTCCAGGAGGAGGGGGTGTCCACGGACCACCTCGCTGCTGCAGGGGCGGGGCCTGCAGAGTGCAGCGAGCCTGGGAAGGGAGGAGGTGGGGGGGGGGGTGAACTCATGCCACCTCGAGCTGTGGCAGCTTGTTGGCTTCTGGGGGGCATGTGCAGGTGGGGAGCCATTTCTGAGCCCACTTGAGGTGGGGGGCTGGCCTGGACAGGCAGAGGGGACAGGCCAGGGGTGAGGGGCAGACTTCTTTTTGGGAGACAACTGGTGGCTCCCCGGTTGGATGGTGTGTTGGCCATGTGTTTTGTAATGTTAACAGGAAATGTCACGTGTGAAATAGGAAAGGTACTTTATGAACCATGGTGACCGAGCTTGTGAGCCCAGCCCCCACTTACAGCCAGGCTGATGTCCACGAGCAAGACTCTAAATTTAATGTTTGATGGGAACAGCTTTCTGCACAGGAAAGTGAGACTAGTCCGTGTTGACAGCAGCCTCCTATCGAATTTCACAAGTGACAGCTGGAGTCCATGTCCTCAGAGGGTCCACCTCGCCTGGCCGCACCGCGGGGCCTAGGGTGGGGCCGGCCGCGGCCCCGTCCGTCTTCTCTCTTCTGCTGGCCCAGCGTTGGCTCTCAGCAACCCCGCCTGTTCCAGGCACGCCTGCTCCTGCCGGCCTTGCTGCCAGCCGCCTCCAGGCTCCCGCCTGCGCCCAGCGGCTCAGGACTGTCCTGTCCCCTCAGGCTGTTTCCCGGCACAGGGCCTGACCCCAGGAGGCCCGCAGGCTGGTCATGTGGGTGACCCTGCACTTATGCTGAGGGGGCTAGTGAGGTAGAGAGAGGGTCACACATACAACCAGATCCGAAAATTGCGCTGTGTGCTCATCAGTGTTTAGCCAAGAAATGGCTTACTCTTGGCGTTTGTTTTTCCAGTAATTCTCAGCCCTCGCCCCTCGTGTGGGCAGGGGAAGCGGTGGGTCACTTGGGTGTGGCCTTGCTTGCACGTGGGGCTGCCTGTGCATTGGGGTCATGTTCATTCTGGCTCTGCCCACCAGAGCCAAGCTGGAGCCAGCAGGGAGCTGTCCCCTGGGGCCTTTGGCTGGCGGAGTCTGTGTCTCCACTTGGGAGATGAGGAGCCAGGGGCTGACTCGGGCTCCCCTTCTCCCCTAGAGCCCCCCCAAGACACCGGGCCGTCCCGGGGCAAACCCTTCGCCTGGCAGCACCCTGAACTGTTTAGCAGGCACTCGGGCTTCCAGCAGCTTACCTTAGAGAGGCTCCTCAGACTCGCCGAGGGTCAGCATAGAGCGCCTGGTGTGAACTGACTGTTCCCTCTGCTTTGCTGCAGGTAGTCCGGGGGACCACGCCTGTCTCAGCTGTGCCAGCGCCGTGGGGTGGATCAGCCGCCTGTAAGTAAGCGTGTCTGCCTCGGGGGCTGCTGGAACGATGGGAACCCTCCATTTGGGGAGCCAGTGTCTCCTGCTCTTCTATTTTTTATGTTTCTGCTTCTTTAAAAACACACAAACATGTATATATATGGTTTAATATATTTGTATTGATTTCAGAGAGGAAGAGAGAGGAGAGAGAAACGTCAATGATGAGAGAGAATCATTGATCACCTGCCTCCTGCACGCCCCAAACAACCAAAACTTGGTGGTTGTTAAAGCAAAATTGTGCTCAAGCGTATTTCCCATTTTAAGACTTTATGAAGTGCTCACATGAGCCTGCCCACAGCCTTGCACTCATGTGCGCGTATCTGATGGCAGGGCCGGCAGAAGCACAGCCTTCGAGGGGACACAACAAAGTCTGTGTAGGAGCCACTCCCAGCAGCAGCCCCCCTGGCCCTCCTGTAGCCAGAGTGCTCCCGGCTTTGATTTTAGTTGGATTTCTGTGGCCCCAGGGCTGTGGAACCCTTCTGGTTACGACGGGAGCCTTTGATGTATGAGCAGAGGACATCTGGACTCCTGGTCTTCGTAGATTTCATCCTGAAGTGGACTAGGGGCATTCAAGGGCCTGGGCCTTGGGTGGTAGGAAACAAGGCCCTGCGGCCCCGGGGGTCTGGTCCTGGTGCGTGAAGGAGGTGGCCCCTGGCTGGCAGTCAGTGCTGGGTGTGTGGTCGCTGGTTAAGAGTCCTGACGGCCAAGCCAGGTTGGGGGCGGCTGTGTGGTTGGGTTCACCTGCAGGAGCAGCCCAGGCGCCGCTGATCGGGCCCTGGAGCCTGCAGGCCCAGGGCCTGTCCCCGTGGGCGCGGCTGTTCCTGGGCCGCGCCTGTCACTCCATGCGAGTTCTCCAGCCGGCCCTCGTCTCTGGGCTGTCCCTCAGTGAGATTATTTCAGTTCTAAAATGGTCTTTTTGGGATTGTAACTGAAATGCCATTAAATCCATAAAATCATTGGGGAACACTACCGTTTTTTAAATCCTCACCTGAGGATGTGTTTTTATTGATTTTTAGAGGAGAGGAGGGAGGAGAGAGAGAAACATCAATAGGTTGCCTCCCATATGCGCTCTGACCAGGCATCGAATCCACAGCCTTTTTGGTGCATGAGATGCTCCAACCAACTGAGCCACCCAGCCAGGGAGAGGAATGTTAACTTAAAAAAATATATATATATACACACACATACACACACACACACACACATATTATTGATTTCAGAAAGGAAAGGGAGAGGAGGAGAGAGAGAGAAACATCAATGATGAGAGAATCATTGATTAGGTGCCTTCTGCACGCCCCCACTGGGGATTGAGACTGTAACCCGTGTATATGCCCCGACTGGGAATAGAACTCAATCACTGAGCAACACCAGCCAGGCAACTTTCTAATTCACATACAGTGTCCCTGGTGTAAGTAGTTTTATTAAGACCTTTTCTCTCTTTCAGAAGAAGGTATGTCAGTTTCTTTATATGGGCCACACTTACTTTCTTTAGAAAGTTAAACAGTTGCCTTTACGACAATTCCCAGAGGTGACCTGTGTGGTGGTGGGATGGTCTTTACTCAGGACATCTGTCTTCCTGGGCCGGCACTTCACACAGCTCCACTGAGCATCGGTAGCTGCTGTGGTAGCCTCTGTAGTTAGTGCTGGGGGTCGTCCTCCACACAGGGCCTTGGTTGTGTGGTTGCAGTTCGGACCTCAGTAGCCAGGCCTGTTGTCTCTGGGGCCAGGCATGACAGCTGTGGTCATGCGTGCGTCCTCACAATAGCAGGCACAGTGTCTGGTGTGCACTGCTTTGTGTAACAGTAGCTTGTTTTTCTCATTTTAAAGTTTTTATTAGCAATGGGTGCTGACTTTGTCGAGAACCTCTAAGATTCAAATATACTTGCACTCATGGTTCATATCTATATATACACCTAAGCGACCATTCGAGTGGTAGCTGTGACCCACACTGGCCACCAGGGGGCAGACGCTCAACACACAGGCATGGAAACATAGAACAGACTGATGAGTCTCAGAGGGAATGGGAGGGGGGGGGGGAGAGATTAACCAAAGATCATATATGCACACTAGAGGCCTGGTGCACAGATTCGTGCACCAGTGGGGTCTCTGAGCCTGGCCTGCGGGGATCGGGCCGAAACTGGCAGTCCAATATCCCCCGAGGGGTCCTGGATTGCGAGAGGGTGCAGGCCAGGCTGAGGGACCCGCCGGTGCATAGGCACCGGGCCTCTAGTTAAAACAAAAGCTGTGCTTTATTGATATTTTTTATAAGTTCACAACTTTTAGAAAGTTAAACACTTTCTTTAGAAAGTTAAACAATAGGTTCAAATTAGGAATTACAGATGAGAGGCAGAATCTCATGTCATTTTCAGCATCCAAAAATTTTACTCCTTATTTTGATGGCACAATATAAGAAATCCTGAGTCACACAGGGACGTATCTGCAAGTGGCAGCCATTTGTATTAGTTGCTTTGCAATCTCAGTCTTTGGTTGAAGTGGTTCAGGCCCGGATGAGTGAGCAGGTGGAGAGTTTCTGGTCCTCGACCTCGTCGTGGACATCACCCCGCTGCTCCTGACCTCTCCCCAGCGGTGAGGAGAGGGAGGCACCAGCTCTGAGGACCAGACTATAACCTCGTTCAGTGGGAAAACCTGGGCAGTGGGAGGCCGTCTGTGTCCTTACGCTTCACGGTGTGACTGTTCACAGGCTTGGCTGTGTCGGCCAGGTGCTCCCCGCACAGCGAGGGGTTGCTCGGTGGGTGGTGCGGGGCCTGGGCCTCCAGCAGGCGTTGAGGTGCTGTGGGTGGTGGCCTCTGGCTCCCCAGCTGGGGCCTGTGGTTTCTCTCATCTCTGGGCAGAGAGGTGCCCTGCCCCTCTGGTGTCGTGTCCCTGAAGGACAGTGGTGGCCCGGCTGCGGGCCATTGTCTTGGTGGGCTGTCCCTTCCGGGGGACATGTACCAGGAGCTTAGTGGCCCGTGAGCCAACACCGTGAGCCCTGCTCCTCTGCCAGGCGCTGCCTAGCCTTGCTCTTCTGGGCGGATGGCAGGCGGCTGGTTGAGAAGGACGCAGCCTGCGTCCTGAAGTGAGACGCACAGCGAGGGGAGCCCCGACGCGGGCCTGTGCTCGAGGGGGCCTCCTCGGTGACCACGTGCTCCCTGCTGACATGCTGCCTCCCCCGGGGGCTCCCCGCGTGGGAAGGTGACCTATGAAAAGTGGGGAGGAAAGAGAAACAGGTGTGGCTGGTGCAGGGGCTGCGCTGCTGCCCGCGCAGGTGAGGGGCGGTGCTTCTCGGTGCTGGGCGCCCTGGCGGGTGTGGGCAGAGCAGGGGCGGCCTTGACGAGGCCATCTGTCCCAGCTGCCCCGGAGAGGTGGCCGTGCCCAGATTGGTTTAGTGCAGGATTTTTAAATAGTAAATGACACCGTATGCTTTTGAAAATAGCTCCCCCTTTCTGGCTGGAGTGTTAGTCACAATCTCTCTAATGTGCTGAAGGCAGCAGGCCCTCGCTGCACACCAGGTGCTCCTCAGCTCAGTCTGACTGCACACATCTGTCCGAGCCTGTTGGCTGCCCCTGGAGACTGTGATGTCACACCTTCTCCTGGAAGCCATTGGCTTCCTGGCTAGTGGCGGGTGGAAATTGGATACTCAGCTTGATGAGTCCAGGAGGAAGGTTGATCTGTGTGTGTGGCCACTGTCCCCCAGGACAGGCGTGATGTTCTCACTGCTGCAGTGGTCAGGGGACTGCTGAGCCCGAGCAGCCCTCCTGTGCCCTGGCAGCCTGTCCCCCGGGGCCTGAGACTCAGGACGGGGAGGGTGTGAGGGACAGAAGTGGGGCGGCAGAGGTGGGGGATGGCGGTGCCCTGTGCCAGCTGTACCTGCCCACGATAAGCTACGAGTTTCTTCCCGCCCAGATTGGCAGCTTCTCACCCACTTTGTGGGCAGTAGCAATAGCTGCCACTCCTGTGCTGTGCCAGATGCTGTCACACAGTGTGGCAGCACACACACTTCCAGAGGACATTCTGAGGCACAGGGAGGTGAGGTTACTTGCCCGAGGTCACACAGCAACAAGTAGTGGAGTTGGCATTTGAACTGGGACAGTCTGCTCCAGGGCGCAGGTCCTTCCTGCCAGCGGCAAGCCAGGTGCCGAGAGGTGACTGGCAGGAGATGCTGGGTGTGCCCTGAAGTAATTCGGAGCCTGTGCCACCCGGAGGCAGGTTTGTGCCTGACCAAGGAGAGGCTTCAGTGACAGACGAGTGTGAGATGGAAACGGAAGGGACTGTGGGCAGCTGTCCAGTTGGCCCTGTAGACGTCTTTGTCTCTGCTGCAGCCGGAAGAGGGTCTCCTCATCGAGTGCAGACCTGGGTGGTGCCAGGCTCTGGCCGGGCACCATAAGCTGCGGGTGGCACGGTCCCTGCTCCAGGCACTCAGGCTGCTGCCGCCCTCCTCTCAGGGCTGTTTTGTGGGTGGACCCGAGGATGCAGCTGTGGGGGCCCAGGGAGCAGCCTGGCCTACGTGGGCGGCCACAGCCCGGGCGCCCTGGGGCCCGAGTGTGGATGGAGAGGGCTCAGGGGTGCAGATACAGAAGCCGCTGGGTCTCCCACGGGGAGCCGGTGCAGGGGAACGGAGCAGGCGGGATGGATTTGAGTGTCACGGGCCAGGAGGACAGGCTGGGTCAGGCGGCCTGAGGGAGCGGCGCCTGCCCGTTGCTGGGGGAGGGGAGCAGCGAGGGGCTGAGTGGGAGGCAGTGGGCTTGGCAAAGGCTTCTTGGTGTTTGCCATTTTGTGCAGACACCTGTGGGCGCCCGGGTGGTAGGTCCAGGCCATCGTTGGCGTGGCGCGTCCTCGCTGACCTTCAGGACGTGCTCAGGAGCGGCAGGTCTTTGTAGAAGGCCACCTGTGGGGAGAGGGCCACCCCCAGATTCTCAGAGCCTGTGGGGACGGGCCTGGGAGACCCGCCCAGAGCTGGGGTGTCTGTTCCGGGTCCAGCTTTTGCTGCCTGTGTTAGTGTCCAGCCTGCCCCTGTGAGGCCCAGCCCCTGTGGCTCCGGGGGTGGCAACTCCTCCACCCACCCCGCTCTGGAGGGAAGGGCTGGGTGGGCTCCAGGCATCGGGAAGGGAAGTGGAGGGTGTTTTGTGCGTGGGGGAGGGGAGGTCAGACATGGCTGTTTGCTCTCCCTTACCAGGCGTGTCCCGCTGGGCGGCTGTGCTCCCGTGCACCTTTCCTTCGGAGGCGACCCCCTGGGCTGCTGGACTCGGAGGCCCCGAGCGCCGTGGGCCCCGGCCCCAGTGGGCCTGCTGGTCGCCCAGCCGCAGCTCCCGCCCGCGCGCTGCTGGCACTCCTCGCCCGCGCTGTGCGATGACTCGGTGGTGGAGAAGTCGCTCAAGTCCCTCAAGGACAAGAACAAGAAGCTGGAGGAGGGCGGGCCGGTGTACAGCCCCCCCGCGGAGGTGGTGGTGAAGAAGTCCCTGGGGCAGCGGGTGCTGGACGAGCTGAAGCACTACTACCACGGCTTCCGCCTGCTCTGGATCGACACCAAGATCGCGGCGCGCATGCTCTGGCGCATCCTCAACGGGCACAGCCTGACCCGCCGCGAGCGCAGGCAGGTAATGCGCACGCCCGCCCCGGGTGCCCGGTGCCGCGGGTCTGTCCTCTGGGCGCTGGTGCTGGGGTCCTCTGGCTGCTTCTCCCGCCGACGGGGCCCTGTCTGCTGAGCTGTATCGCGGGGGCTGGTGACCTGCCTTTTCCGTCTCGTTGCTTTCCCCTGTCGTTGGGCTGTGCACCTCCTTCCAGGTTGTTTGCATGGCTTGTTGGGGATCTGTGCTCCCAGACCCCCTGTGTCTTTTCTTTTGTGCTGAGTCCCAGGGGACAAGGGGCAGCCTCCAGCCCTCAGGGCCTTGGAGCCCGAGGAAAGGCCCTGGAGTGTCCTTCCCTGAAGGCTGACACAGAGGCTTCTCCGTGAGAAGAGGGGCCTCGGTCACAGCCGGGGGTTGCTTGTGACCTGTGAGCACTGGCTTCTGGCTTTATGCTGCGCTCAGGGTTCCATGGACCACAGAGGAGTGTTTACTGGCTGGAGTCCAAGGGATGCTGGGAGAAGGGTGCAGATGGGTACTTTGAAGAACGGTTGGATTAGAATTTCCCAATTAGTGTTTACTGGACAGGTTACACGCACACTGCCTTTTGGGGACTCGCAAGAGAAGGCTGTATGGTTCAGGTTCTCTTCTGCCCTCCCTGCCCTGTTCTGCTGTGAAAGTTACAGGGTTTTTGCTACTTCGTTGAAGACAATATGTGCTGTTATGAAAAAAAACAAAGCACACAGTTGACCCTAGCCAGGCTCAGTGGTTAGAGCATCGGCCCAAGGACTGGAGGGTTGCAGGTTTGATTCTGGTCAAGACACGTCCTCAGTTGCACCTGTAGGAGGAACCAATCAATGTCTCTCTCACATCGATGTTTCTAAAACTCACTGGAAAAATACCCGTGGGTGAGGATTAACACAACAAAATAAACAAAACGCAGCACCCACTTGACGGGCCTTTCCATGGCCAAATCTGGGACCATTTGAGCATAAAATAAAAACGAGAATTGTAAACAAATGGAAAACGTCGGGTAATAAATAGGAAAACGAATGTGCGGAAAAGGCAGCGAAGCTGGTGAGCGGGGAGGTGGCGTGAGTGAGGAAGTTGCTGCTTTGCGAGCATCAGTAGAGACTGGAAGAGCCGTGGCTGCGTGACCTGGGGGAGAGGTGGGTGTGGGCCTGGCCTCCAGTGCCTCCGCACAGCAAGGGCAGCCCTCCCTCGGGAGCTGGTTCCCGGCGGGAGCACAGCACCCACACCCAGCAGCGGGGGTGTTTCTGGATGTGACCTCTCTCCCCAGAGGCCTGCGGGCTAGTCCATTGGGCGTGGGGTGAGGACATGGAGAGGCAGCCTTGGCCTCTCCGCCCACAGCCGTGTGAGTGGCAGCTGCGCACTCGCCTGGTGGGGTTCTGACGACCCCAGTGGCCACGTCGTCAGTGGCGGGGGCAGTGTGTTTATGTTGGGGAAGCACTTGGGTTTTCTCTAACGATCGCCATGCAGCTCAGCCCTAAATCCAGCCCTTTCAGGAAGAACCAGAGAAATGCACGGCCTTGGGGGTGGGTGGTGTGGCCACAGCCTCCCCAGCAACAACCCGTCCTCGTGGTTGCTCTCGTCCGGCCAGGCCCGCCTGTGGGCAGCACTGTGTTTGCCGCAGCTGTTTCCCCAGAGCAGGACCCCAGGGTCCCGGGTCAGTGCCTCTGGGGCGGGTCCCGGAGGCCCCAGCGCTGGGTGCTGCTCCCAGCCAGCTTTCCCGCAGGCCCGGCTGAGAGGGACGGCCCGGGAGTTCCTGTGGGTCCCGGTGGCCTGGAGCTCCCGGCCTGCAGGACGCGCGCCGTGACCTCTGACCCCGCCGCTCGCTCCCTGCAGTTCCTCCGCATCTGCGCCGACCTCTTCCGCCTGGTGCCCTTCCTGGTCTTCATCGTGGTGCCCTTCATGGAGTTCCTGCTGCCCGTCGTGGTGAAGCTCTTCCCCAACATGCTGCCGTCCACGTTCGAGACCCAGTCCATCAAGGTGCTCCGGGGCGTGTTCCTTCGCGGTGGCCACGCCCGCGGGGGGTCGCCGTCTCTTAGATGTGTTTGCAACATGGTTGCTCTGGACCCGTGTCTTCAAGCCGGGCTGAGACCATTCGTGGGGTGGGATGCGGGCCAGCCCCCAGCCGTGCGGGCCCTGCCTGTTTCGGTCAGGGAGGTCTTGTGGGGACACGTGCCCAGCCGGGTGTGGACTCTGCCAGCCCTGCTCTGGGTGGCACAGTGGGAGGCAGGAGCTGGAGGGGACGCTCCAGCCCCGCTCGTCGGGGAGGGTCTGGGCAGAGGGTAGCGCCCGTCTCTGCCCCGCAGGAGGAGAGGCTGAAGAAGGAACTGCGGGTCAAGCTGGAGCTGGCCAAGTTCCTCCAGGACACCATTGAGGAGATGGCCCTGAAGAACAAGGCGGCCACGGGCAGCGCCACCAAAGACTTCTCCTTGTTTTTCCAGAAGGTGCCCTGATGCTTCGGAGCCCCTGTGGCCTCAGCCCACTGTCCTTAGTGCTGGTTAGAGCCTCGGGCCACCTGCCTTCCCTGGGGAGTGGTCCTCATTGCCATCCTCCCTTTTTCTACTGTAGCAGCAGGGGGCGCTCCTGACCCCCCTCCCCAGGCAGGCGGGCGGGCGGGCGGGCGGGCGGGCGGGCGGCAGCTGCTGCCCAGGGCCTATGGAGGTTCCCTCCACACTCAGGTTGAACCTCAGTCCGAGAACTTGAACCCGCTGACATTCAGTTACTTGTGTCTGCCTCCAACTTTGCAGCAGCCCCAGGAGAGGGAGAGTTTGGCAAATGAGGAACCTAAGACCCTGCAGTGTGACAAGCGGGGGGTGGGCAGGGGAGAGGATGGACCACAGGCTGCTCCACAGCCATGGCTGAGGTGGGGGGAGAGTGGCAGGGCCTCCTTGCCAGCAGGGGGAGGCCAGGCCTCTTCCAGTCGCCAGCCCACACCCCGGGCTGGGCTGCCCTCGGGGTTGAGTCTTAGGGGCTGTTCTGAGATTGTGCCTGATAGTCCAGGCAGTCCACCTCCCCCAGCTCCCGGTCCTCCTCCTTTCCTCACTTGGGGCGAGTGGCCCCCGGGCCTGGGAGGGGTGCTGTGTGCGTGCGTGTGCGTGCGTGTGCGTGTGTGCGTGCGTGTGTGTGTGCGTGTGTGTGTGTGCGTGTGTGCGTGCGCGTGTGTGCATGTGTGTGTGTGCGCGTGCGTGTGTGTGTGCGTGTGTGCATGCGTGCGTGTGTGTGTGCGTGTGTGCATGCGTGCGTGCGTGTGTGTGTGCATGCGCGCGCGCTCAGGGAACAGCCCCCACCGTGAGTAACACCCGGCGCTGCTCCTGCAGATCCGAGAGACCGGGGAGAGACCCAGCAATGAGGAAATCATTCGTTTCTCCAAACTGTTTGAGGACGAGCTGACCCTGGACAACCTCACGCGGCCGCAGCTGGTGGCGCTGTGCAAGCTGCTGGAGCTGCAGTCCATGGGCACCAACAACTTCCTGCGCTTCCAGCTCACCATGCGGCTGCGCTCCATCAAGGCGGACGACAAGGTGAGCGGCGGCTCGAGGTCGGCCGTCCTCGCAGCAGGGGTGGCGTCGCTGGTGGTCTGTCAGCCTCGCATGGCGGCTGTGCCCACCTGGTGGGCACGTGGGTGCTGTCTGCTGGGATCAGTGATACTGGGATCGTGCCGTCCACGTGACTTCCCACCTGGCGTGGCATCGGATCCTCCCGTGTGGCCTCGTGCTCATTGGGAAGGTGCGTTCTAATGTCTCCTGACGCTTCCTCGGATGAGTGCGTTACAGCTTGTTCATTACTGTAGCCAGTCTTTTGCTACCTAAACAACACTCCAGTAAGTTTCTTTTTTTTAAGTTCATATATTCTTACTGAGTTTAGAGAGAGGAAGGGGGAGGGATAGAGAGAGAGAAACATCTATCGGCTGCCTCCTGCACACCCCACACTGGGGATTGAGCCCACAACCTGGGCATGTGCCCTGACTGGAGATCAGACCTGAACCTTGGTGTATCGGGATGATGCTCTACCAACTGAGCTGCCCGGCCGGGGCATGGGTTTAATTACTCTTAGACCCACTTCTCAGTTCCTCATTTCAATGCCAGAATTTTTTTTTTTAAGATTTCATTTCTCACATAAAGCTGTCCATCTTGCTGTCTGTCTTCTTGAACATGCTAGTCTTAGTTCACGTCTAATTATTCCAGTAACAGTATGAAACAGGTGTTCATTGTTTTCTCTCGGGGCTTGGCTTGTTGGTCGTATTTAGCTTTTTCAAATAGAGACCTTGTCTGAAGTGAGGTTCTGGGTGGTGTCCTCCTCCAGGAGCCCCCACAAGGTCATCACCCCAGGGCTGGCCTGGCTTCCGGGGTGCCCTCTGCCTGGAGCTCCCATGGCACAGCCCAGGTGCCCGCCTGCTGCACAAGGCTCTGCCAGCTCCTCCCCGGTGCCCGCTTAGCGTGAGGCCCGACGCCAGGGGGTTCCTGCGCTTTCTGCTCTCCGGACTGAGCCCCAGGACCCCCGCTGCTCCTTCTTAGCCTGGCAAGATGGCTGCCTCTTAGCAGTGGTCTCTGCCTGGACTCCGCCTGCTCCGAGCTGGCGTATGCCGCTGGGCCCGGCGGCTCCCGGATGGCCAGCTCGCTTCCTGGCAGCCTGGTCGCTCTCCCGTCTCCAGACGCGCCTGTGTCCTGTGGTCCCTGGCTTCTCCGGCTCTCGGGGCAGCTACCCTCCCCGGTCGTCCTGCGTGTGTGGGGCGAGAGGAGCTCGGCTGTGGCCCCTGTGCGTTTCTCCCGGGGAGGGCGTGCTCAGGGCACCGCTCTGCTGGAGAGCGGCGGGCGGCCCGTCCTGAGGCGCCGTCCTCTCGGGAGGAGGCTCCAGGCGGTGGCCGGGTTGAGTCCCTGCCCCTCACCCATCCTGTGACCTTGGACAAGTCACCCCACCGTGAAGTGCCTCAGATTCCAAGCCCTCCGCTGCCGAGAGGGGGGTGGGCCCTTTCCCTGGACAGGAAGCAGGGAGCACACCCGAGAGGACTGCGGGGTGGGGAGGCCCTGGGGCCCCAGGAACCACCGTGCGTCTTCGTACCTCATATCCCAGCCTTGGGCGACAGAAACACTGGCAAGTCCAGAGCCTGCTCTCGGCCAAGAGCAGGACAGGCTCGCCCTGGGAGAGAAGACTCCAGCCAGACCCCCCAGGAAACACTGGCCCCGCCCCGCGTCCACGGGTGGGTGTGAGCCCTCCACCCACCTGACAGTCCTAGGACACTTCCTCCCCGGGCGGGAGGTGCCGGTGGTGGAGGCCAGGCGGGGCAGGAACGAGGTTCAGGGAGCTGGGAAGCGCGGCAGGATGGACGCAGCACCGTGCCTGTCCCAGAATGCACCTGGTGCAGCTGGTGGGCTGGCTGATGCACAGAGATCGGTGCCCGTGAAGGGAGCCTGCTGTTCCAGGTTCCCTGGAAACGGCCATGGCGCCCCCGAACGGGAAGCGGCAGCAGGGGAGGCAGGAGGAAAGGGGCTGGGCCGTTGTCACTGGTGGGGTGGCCAGCTGGAGACGTTGGTTGGGCAGGAAGTGAAGCAGAGGTCGGGGTTTGTGGTTAGAGGGTTGACAGGTGACTTTGTGCGCCCACGAAAGCTGGGCTGCCAGGGCCATGCCAATAGCTCGGGCCACCAACAGATGCCAGATAACCAACTGCAAAGTCTATAAAGATGGTTAGAGCAGCGCCCCTTCCTCTCCCAGAGCCCTGTCAGGCAGCTAAGAGAGGACTGAAATGGGATCCAGTCTCATAACGTCATACTCCACACGCCCGGGCTCCACTAGGAAGCTACTCCTCATGCCCAGGCACAGTCCAGCACGGAAAACTCAGTGGTGGGCCCTCCAGTAGGATGGACAGGACAAAGTACAGGCTCCGTGAACAAGGGAAGTTGTAGAATTTAACATGTGAACAACAAAGAGGACAGTGAGAAAGGGTCAGAGCCTCCGGGACCTGTGGGCTGTTGCAGAACTAAGATATGTCGTGGGGGCTCCGGGAAGAGAAGGGACAGGGCAGAGCTGGAAAAGTGCTCAAAGAAGTCATGGCTGGACACTTCCCAAAGTCCTTCAATTCTACAAATGTAAGCAACCGAGGGAACCGCGGACAGGACAAACCCAAAGCAACCCACACCCTGCAGGACACGTCGCCGTCAAACTAATGAGCCTTCAAGGACAGAAGTAATTTGAAAGTAATGAGAGCGAACAGCCTCTTGCCTGCAGGACAAAGAATACAGAATGTCAGCCCACAGTTCTGTGTCCAGCAGCGTTCCCTGTTGGGCGAAGAGGAAGTCAGACCTCAGAAGAGGGAAAGCTACCGTGTGTCCCCAGCAGGCCTGTCCTCGAAGACCCTGACGGAGGTTTTCGAAGCAGGAAGTGAAGGGAGGGCCTGGAACAGCAGGAAGGAACGTCAGATCGGTCCAGCAGGCTCTCCTCGCGTGTCTCCCGAACAACGTTCGGTGGTGAAAGCACAGGCATGGCGCCGTGGCGTGGGGCTCTCCATGCACGAGTGGAAGAGGGCGCTTCCTCCAGTTCACCCGGACGGCCACGCAGGTGTGGTGCCCACGTGGCCACAGGTGTGGGCTGGCTCAGGCAGCAAGGACACGCCTGGTGGCCAGGCAGTGCGGCTCCTAAAGTGCCGCCAGTGAAGGGCCTGTGCAGAATCAGCTGCCAGGCTCTGGGATTTTCTTTGAATTTATTTTTTTAATGATTTCAGGGAGGAAGGGAGAGGGAGAAAGAGAAACATCAATGATGAGAATCATGGGTCGGCTGCCTCCTGCACGCCCCCCACTAAGGATCAAGCCCACACCCAGTCATGAGCCCTGACCGGGAATCGAACCGGGACCTCCTGGTTCATCTGGTTCATAGGTTGGCGCTCAACCACTGGGCCACACCAGCCATGCTAGGCTCTGTTTTTGGAAATTGGAGCCCAGTTAGCCTCCAGGAGCCCTTTTTTAGTAGGTGTCTTACTTCTCACACAGGAGGGCCACCCAGAAACACTAGAGAGGTCACAGTGGGGTCACGGAACCCCCAGGAGGATGGGGGCTGGAAGCAGACACGCAGTTTCTGCCTGAGCACTGCGTGCTGGGCACGGCCAGGCGCCCTCAGTGGGCGAGTGTAGCCAGGGCTGTGCTGGGCCGTGCTCCTTGGCACGGAAAGGCGAGTTGTTGATACGCCGGCAGCCTGTGTGAATGGGTCTTCATGGGATCCCCTGTGTGCGCTCGTGCGTCGGATGCAGCGAAACGAAGACCCAACGCGAGGCTGCGGGTCTAGGACTGGCTGGGCGGGAGGCGGCGGGAGGGACCTGCTGTCACCTGGCTGTGATCTTGTTCTGCACTTGGGGCGATGTCACCATGGGGCCCGGATTCGGCAGGTTACCACCACCTGTCTCATCTCAGGATGAACGTTTAAGAAGATGGGGTGGGGGCGCCCCTGTCCCCCTCAGGATACTGTGAGACGAGGTGGGGGGTGGAGACAGATGGGGAGCGCCTGCCATTCTGTCTCTCCCCTCCCTCCCTCCCCCCTCCCCGCTCTCCTCCCTCCCTCCTCCCTTGCACGGTGTCTTTGGCGCTGCAGCCCACGTCCTTGTCTAGGGGACTCCTGCGTGCCCCTCTCCTCCCTCTGGCTGGGAGCGGTGGCTGAGGCCGTGAGACATCTTGGGAGCCTATGGTCGCTCTGCTCTCTGCCCTTTCTCTTCCGTCCAGCAAACAGCAAGGCTCGGGTTGGGCTGGGTGGGCTGTGGGCAGGGACAGGTGGTGGGACCCTCCCCGCGGGCCTAGGTGGAGGCGCCCTTCTTCCAGACTCCGTTCTTGGGGCTGGTCCTGGCCGTGTGCGCTCCCCAGGTCCTTGGTCAGTTCCTGTCCCTGCAAACCCAGGCGGGGCCTTGGTCGGGCGTGTGTGACTTAGCAGAGCCTATGAGGGCCGTGGCTGACAAGGGGCACGTGGTTCCCACGCGTGTGGCCGTTAAGCCGGGAGCCCTGCTGCCCTTTCAGAACGACAGCGCAGCCACGCGTTGACTTTCTTTTCCAGCTGATTGCAGAGGAGGGTGTGGACAGCCTCAACGTCAAAGAGCTGCAGGCGGCGTGCCGGGCGCGAGGCATGCGGGCCCTGGGAGTCACAGAAGACCGCCTGCGGAACCAGCTGAAGCAGGTGCGTGCTCGCGGGGCCTCCGTCAGTCCCGCTCAGGCTCCTGTGGGGAGCCTGGAGGAGACCTGCAGGTCCTGCGGGCTCATGGGCAGCAGCCGGGCCTCATGCGCGGGGCCTGCACAGGTGCCTGACTCGGTCTGTGGTGCCCGGTGCTCGCTGTGTGCGGAGGCCGCGGTGGCTCCCAGGGCTGCAGTGCGGTCCTGTCCTGTCTCTGCTCCCGTCGTCTGGGCAGGTGAGCGCCACGTTAGCTCTTGGAGACACGGGCATGTCTCACCGAGGCCAGGCTTTGGCGCACCTGCTCCCTCCAGAGGCTCAGGCAGCTCTGCCCGCCCAGGTGGGACCGGCCCTGGGAAAGGCGGCGCTCAGAGCAATTCTCCTGCCACATCGGAAGGTGGAAGGTGGAAGGTGGAGAGCGTGCGGGCGCCCAGTGGCCCGCCTCCTGACCGCCATGCTGCGGCCCCTCCCAGGGGGGTCAGCGCGTCCTCCAGGTGGAGGCAAATGTGCAGCGCATCGGTCCCCTCTGTCTTCTGTGTGCTCCGCCTCCGCTTGTCTTCTGTGTGGTCTGTGGCAGGCCCTGCCCTGTGCCAGCCGAGGGCCAGAGTGCACGCGGCGTTCCTGCTCTGCGGAGCTCGCGCGGGCGTGCGGTCAAGTTGTTCTCCGCCACTCCTTCTCTGGGTACTTTACTCTCCTAAGCGTATCGCCCCGATCTTTGAGTTCCTTCTCAACTAATTCCGTCCTGGGACCCATATTT